TTTAAATGTTTAATTTACTTCAATTTTCCTTTTTTGTACAAGCATTAGCTTTTCATTGACTTTGTCAATAAAAGCGAAACAAAAATAAGGATGAAAACAACATAATTGCCTCTCAGGAGTCAAACCATGATGGCAACTGTCAGAAATGTTAATGCATGTTTTTCCAGTATCTTCCATCTCTGTTTCATTTCTGATAACTTGGTCTTTTATCATCTCTGTCCATTACGTTCAGTAATTATCCAGGGCAATTCATTTGTCATTACATTTTTAATGCAGTTTGTCAAAAGAAAATAAACTCCAGAACTTTGTATTTGTTAACATTTACATCACATTTATAGTCCATTTTTATAAGGATTTTTAATAAACACATAAACCTTTATTTATTTCACACCTTATTGTTTGTAGTTATCAATAAGTCTAACAAGAGGTTTAAAAAAAAAAAAAGCCCGCATACAGCTTTGATTTCTGCCCTTCCGATTTCCTCAAAAAGTAATTTGTGCTCGATGGTTTTCAATGGTTGGTGATTTCCCCTTATACTCGCAGATGAATGATTTATCAGCGCAGCCCATTAAGAAACGGCAGTCTTTGTATCACAGTAAAATCCGTTTCATTCTCCTGCTGATCAATATGTATGGTGGGACTGCCGGCTAAGACGAGGCAGAAAAGCTCTTTGTCTGTGGATGCCATCGCTCCTTGATATGATTTTCCGTTCACGGTATTTGCCAGTGACAGTACTTTATGGGCCACAGTCAAGGGCAGAGAGAACAATGAGACTTTAAAAATTGAGGGAAAAACTAATAAGAGCACCAGCTTCCTGAATTCTAATGAGTTTGGCGTTCTGGTTGCAATGGTATTTTTAGAACTGCCTTGGAGAGTTGCCAATAATAATAATAATAATAAAAGACTCTCCATAGAATGACAAACACTGTTTTTAAGTGTCTTGAGACTCAACTGTGTTCACGATAATTTGAAGCAAGTTCACATAAACAAATCTTTCAAAAGTACAAACAAAACACGGTCCTGAGAGGGATGTCATTAGCTCCTTGTTGAAGGGGTTATCACATCTTTTATGTGGACAAGGCTCATCTTCAAACTAATGGTTGTGTGGCCTGATTAGATTACTCCGACGTCCCCCTGCATACGTCACTGCTGTCTGTGTGTGGACAGACCAAAGACACTTCACAATTATCAGGAGTCCGACCCCCCTGCTGTTTGATTCTTGTACTTTATGACCCATCTAGTCGATACATATCACAGCTGAAGATCTACAAGGCGGATGTGTAGCTACAGACATCGTAGGAAACTAAATGTTTTTTAAATGCTTAGTATAACAAAGCTCAAACTGTGTATATATATATATATATTGTATTTCTTTTTATTATTATGGAGCCGATGACGTAATCAGGGAACAGAAGGGCAATCTGAGCTGGGCTTGAAGTTCACAACGTCCTCATCGTTCAAGGTCGTTGTTGCTGTTTACTTATAAAGAGTCTTTAATGTACGGGAGCTGAATAGTTTTTACTTGACTTTATTTTGCAACTCTTTGATTGCAGAAAATGTTTTGTCGGATAATACACCGAGGATGTCGAAGTGTTCCTGTGTATTTTTGTTGGACATGGATGAGGAGAACAGATCAGAGCAGCAAAATTTGCAGTTTGATGTTGGAATGATTCGTGATCAACTGTGGCTTTGACCGATGTTCAAAAATACAAAGCTGTGTAATTATAGTTTCTATGAGGTTCTGTGGTCAGTTCTATAGTGTAGTGGTTAGCACTCCTGCCCTGCAGGCAAAAAGTTGAGAAGTCCAAAACCGGACTCACTTAATCTTTGTGATAAAGCAAAATGGATCCAGTGGAGGACTGGTTTCCACTGAGACCCTCGTGTCAGGTATTCAGCTCTCAAAGACCCAACACATGGGATCTTTAGAGCAGATAGACTGAGATCTGGATGCCTCTGGGTAACAGGTGAAATCTCCTTGTGAAACTAAAGCAGGTCATGACGCTTTGGTCTAAACTGTATCACGGCTCAGACACTTCACAGTTCATGCCTTGGGTTTATTTGAACAATTACATAAACTCTACTTTTAAACCTGGACTCAAAAAAACTCCATGTTTTGGGGGATTACAGCTACACTCACTCAAAGCACACAGTGGACTTTGATTTCATTCTTTGGAAATAAAATTGCAAAGTCACACGTTCTCACACTTTTTTTTCACCGAAAATATAATTTGTGACACGCTGTGGGGGGTTTTAACTAAATTGCCTAAGAGTAGTGGATACACTTTATTTTCCAATGAACGCAATTGGATTCACATTTAAGAAACCCTTGTAGCTCCCTCATTAAATTACAGAGGACGGCGCTGTCAGCACCGAGAGTTTGCCCTCTAATGACTGTCAAGGGTTGATATTTCTTTATGTTTCATGAGGATATTCTATTTAAAGTTATGTGTAGATGTAAAAGGAATGTACCAAAGAAAGAAAAATAGAAAGGAACTTGAGAAAAAATAATCTAAATGCACACATATATAGAAAAATCCCTGTATCTCCTTTGGCAACAATCTGTTGTAAATAATCTTTTGCCAGGTCATGTTAAATGTAGAGGACAAAAATCGTGACACACAGGTGTTCACTACACTTTGTCCAAGGATAAAGTGTTTTCCTTCCCATATTAGTTTGACATTTTAGATGAAACCTTCTTTTTTTTTTTCAAAATGCTCTGGCATTTAACTATGTCCTAATATTTACATATGGCTGCATTTCAGGACCAGATATCTCTCTTTGTGATGATATCATTGTGAAGAATATTGAAAAAAAAACACCAGACACCATCGACCCAATATCTTAAAATGTGTTGCACCTGAAGTAAGATGAAAAGAATTTAATGAATAAATTCACAATATTGCAAGTACAATTTACACTGTATGGATTTACCTGTGACCAGGTTTTGCATGTGGAATTGAATGCATTGTATTGCATGTCATTGTCAGATCTTTGCGTCATATTTATTTTTTAATTATATAAATGGAGTCACTATCAACAGTAACAAATATTATGATTGTTATTATTATTATAACAGGAATAATTAAATCCCCCATGGACCCAGACACACTTGCCCTCTTGTCGTAGCTCCTTGATGGACTCCTATAGGTTTTCTAGTAATTTTCTGATTGACTCTGTGTTGAAGTTGAAGCAAAGGTCCCCAGCAGAAGTTTCCTCATCCATTACTTGATGTGCTTTATAACAACTGCATGTCATATTCATGAGTAGTGATTCAATCACTGGCCTTCATTAGTGTGTGTTTATGTTGCTGGTACACCCCACAGGGACATTCAAATGAAAATGCCAAGTACTAACAAACGGCCCCACTCTAGTCTGCTGATATTTCATTTGACTTCAGGCTGAAGATTTCGCCCCTGGCAACCGAACTGTATGAAACCATTTATATTGCTAATACACTTTTAACACAACAGCGTAAGGATGGGTGTGTGTGTGTGCACTGTTACACTGAGGGGTGAGATGAGCTATTCAAAGTTTTTGTGGCCTATAGTTTGTCTAATTAAACAAAAATTAAAATAACAAAAACAATAAATGTTATGTCGAGTTTTGGGAAATTTCTCTTGCACCAGGTCACGACCTCTGCCTCGTCTAAGTACTGCGTTTTAGTTCTTCTCTAAATGCAACACTAAATTCATGGTTGAAATGTCAAACGCAGACACCCACTTGACTTTATCACATTATTAAAACAGCATCACTATCACAGTCAAGTTTATTTTTTGTTTCTTTTGCACATGACAACTAAGCACAGTAAACACCTGCCTCTGCCTGCTCACCCTGTCAGTTTTCTCACATCAACATCTTTTGCTCAGAGTTTGGAGTGAACGTCACTTGTCCAGTTTTAGAATTTATGATGGAATGTTGAACATTACATTTGAGAGTTTTATATATATATAAACATCTGATGTGAAATATTTGCCTTGTGCTCTGTCCAAGGTTTTGTCCAATCACACGCCTTGCTTTCTCCTGCCCTGCCTGACTCACATGCTTTGGTCATTTTTCAAACCTGGTTCATTTATTCTGTAGAGCTCCCCCTTTATTTTTGAGTAAAAGTGTATTCCCTCATGCTTGCACTTTCTTGTGTAGCATTTATTCGTTTCTATACTGTAACATCCCTGGAGTCATGGCTACACTGGTGTACACTACACTAATCAACACAGATCAAAAAACAAAAATGATATGGTTTGAATAAAATTAGTTACTGAAATGAGTTCTATTGATCAGCATGGAGCTATTTTAGATTTTAAAAAATACTGCAATAAAAAGTGTGTGACCTAAAGAATTCTTTCGAAAATTAAATTGAAGCTACTTTCTGCCAGGATCACATCCACGACCTTGTGATTGCGAGCAGATAAAAAGCTCCGAGATGTAACGTTTCCATCTGGGCTAAGTGATTGATGGGCTGACTGAAGTTTTGTACACTGTCAGATTTCCATCTTCTAGAGAAATGTCCATTCTACTTGTCATACAAGAGAGCACTACTTATACACCAGCTCACAGGGCGATATTTTCTCACTGCATGTGCAAGTCATCTATCATACGGGCCTATAGGGCAAAGCCATGAATAAACAAGGATAGATGACAGTGCTTGCACACTAATCATAAAAAAACTCTGGAGAATATTGTCCCCCTCCTGCAACCTGTGCTGTAATGAAGGGGGTCATTTGGCACAGTAAATATATCATGAGTGATCCCGAGGTTAATGCTTGCCAGTCGTAGAACAGACGCAGCATGACTTTAATTAAAATGACTTAAAGCTCTGATCATGGCCTGTTACTAACCGGTAGTTTTACATTAATAGTAGCTTACAGTACAAAAAAAGTAAATACACATGACAAAAGTCGGATACAGACACAGGAATACATAGACGTATAAACAGTGGAATATATTTTTCTACAATCGCATTTTTATTTGGCCACAAACATATTTACAGCTCTAAAGATGTTAAGTCTTTACTTTGTTTTCAGTGTAAGACTTGAAAGTCAAAATAATGTGTAACTACGAAACCTATGACACTGATAGTTCCAGGAAATACAACTGGAGGGCTTTTATTTTGAAGGCCGACTATGTTTCTACATTGACAGTGTCCAAACCTGCTCCCTTACACTTGGTTACATTAGCAATTTGCTAATGCGCATTCAAATGTATTGCACATAAATGCCTTGTTTTTTAAGTTGAATGTTGTTGAAGTATTTTATCAAAATATCTGTTCACTTAGTTGATGTTAAGATGCAGAAGTTTAGATCAAATTAAAACAAATCTTTGTTCAGCACTTAGGTGTGCAGTCTTCTGTGGGTTGATGTTCTAACTACTGTGCAAACAACCAGATTCATAAATATATATTGGCGTCTATGTGACAACAGTATACGCACACATCAATCAATAGCTTTATACAAACGCATTCTTCCTCTAAAGTTCTTATTTGAAGAGAAAAAAGTGTCATCCATCACGGCTCCACAGTCGGCACTCTGTGCTGCGATGACTGTCTTCATCCCCAGACTCCATTACTCAGTTTATCATTATACTCCTCTCTCCTCACAGTCCAGTGCCAACAATCACCTGGAGGAAGATAAATGGCAACATCCCTAAAAAGGCGCGGCTGCGAAAATCACAGGCTGTGCTCGAGATTCCCAATATACAAGTGGATGACTCGGGAACTTATGAGTGTAAGGCTGAGAATCCAAGAGGTGGAACTGCTTTCAAAGGACACCTCCAGGTCTACAGTGAGTTCCAGTTTTTTTATTCCTCTTTGAGACTCTAATTGTGAAGCCGTTGCTCACTGTGCACTGTCTGTGGTGATAACGATTTTCTACTCCAAGGCCTGACATAACAAGTCAAAGAACTAATTATCCAACTAAGATCCCAGAACATCATCCGAGTAAATTAGATGTTTCTTTCCGACAAGAGGAGCGACGCTCTCTTAGTCAACACCATTTTCTCTGTGGTGTTTTGTTAAGGGCTGTTTTTTTTTTCTTGTGTGTGTGTTTTATTCTTGGGTAACTTTTGGGCTGTTTTTGTTTTTAACGAATCTGAATATGCAGAGACAAGAAAAAAACTATAAAAACAAAATTAAAATAAGATGACAAAATGTACAAACACCTATTTCTTATTAAATTAGCTGTTGTTTGGTAAAATGATTTTTGTAAATTTTACATTAATAATACATCACTAATAATATAGCCTGTGGAAAAACTGTCATTGTGATGGTAATTTGTGTTTATCTACCAGTGTGCAGGGCTTCCTGTCCTTTCTCTCCGTGCACATGTGCACAAGCCTCAGATAATGGTCTCCCCATCCTTGCTAGTATACATTTCCAAGGCTGGGCTCGTGTTGGAAGCTTTCTGTTCTGTTGACATCACAAGGAGAAAAGGAAGTCTAATTTGTAGCAGGCTCAAACTCAATGTAATTTACACAGGTCAGCTGCTTGTCTGAACTTTAATGGTGCGAAGGTCTCTTCTGTCCATGGCCATACAATTAAATCTCACAAAAAGCATTTGTCTGTGTTTGGCAAGGTCAGTCCTCCTCTACACTAATATAGATTTCTTTTCCCAAGCTGTACAGTGTAAACACAATGTACTCTATGTGAGGCCTTAATCTAAACAGACTCAGGCACATTCATAAATAAGAGCACTTCTCTATTGCCGGCCTGAATGGACTGTGTAGTAGAAATGTAATACATAATGATGAATGTTTCTGTAGCAAAAAGCAGAAGCTACATGCTATCATCAGCAAAAAATAAGGACAGGACTGTAAAGTTGTCTGCACTTCTCCAACTCCAGAGAGTTTTTCTTTATAGAATTTGTTTTTGATCATGTTTTTTTTGGTTGTGTTGCAAAAAAAAAAAAGTAGCTGGATGAATGCACAATTGCATTATTATGAGTTGTGTTGCAAAAAAAAAAAAAAAAGTAGTTGGATGAATGCACAATTGCATTATTATGTTGATAAGAATATTTATTACTTGGAAAAAATGGTTTATCAATTACAAGACATTTCAGACAACCCCAATTGAATTTCAGGAGACCCCACATGGGGTCACGACCCTAAGGTTGAAAAATACTGGTAAAGTGTATTCTGTACTAATAAACTAATCTAATAAAACAGGTCTGGCTGACGATTTTGTCAGTCTCTAAAACCACAGCTCTGGGATAACTGGTCTTAAACAACTTTTGATATATTTAAATATTTCTGACCCACTCATAGCACTAAGCCGGAAATTTCCATTGATGTTTCATGCACCACTGAGCGTACACTTCATTAGAATAGGTAGAAGCTCCTCATCAGTTTTTAAAGATCACAGAACATGAGAAGAAGAAGATTAAAAAAGGGAGACGGCTTATTACTTGATATTTAGTGTGGTTTGTACATTTCCAGCAGGGTTTAAAAGAGCACAGCTTTGAAGAGAGTTTTGAAGTATTTCAGAACTTAGATGTGCAGCGTCAAGGCATCAAAAGGCAAGAAAAACAAATAGTTTTTGCATTCATCATCATGCACACAAAGAGGAAAAGTTTTTTTTTTCTATATTATATCAACAGTATGTATTACACACCTTTATGTTGTGTTCATGTTGTAATTTTACATTGTGAATTTCTTCTTGTCTTGTACCTGTGTGAATGTACACTGTTGTCAGTTTCAAGGATATTTTATTGTTAACCCTTCTTTTTTTTTTCTTCAAGCTTTCCCTCAGTGGGTGCGAATGATTAATGACACTCAGATGGATAGTGGGGAGAGGCTTCAGTGGGAGTGCAAGGCCACAGGGAGACCCCGGCCCACCTATCGCTGGCTCCGTAATGGTTTGCCCTTGACAACCCAGGTGCACAACCCACCCCACGCTTTCCCGTCCTTTATTGAAAATACCAGGAGACGTCTTAGTCTTTTATGGAAGTGCTTGTCCACTGTTATATGTATTCCAACAGTAAAAAAAAGCAAATCTTCTGCTGTTTCTTTTCTGTTTTCAGGGTCAAACTGAAGTGGTGAATGGAGATCTGACCATTTATAAAGTGCAGCAGCCAGACTCTGGGATGTACCAGTGTGTGGCAGAAAATAAATATGGCTCCATCTACTCCAGTGCTGAGCTCAGGATATTAGGTATTCACATCTAATACTGAAAATGAAGCACAAATATTAGGCCAGTAAACATCAGTCTTCTAATTTAACTTAGAATGACCTCAGAAATAAAGGAGGGTGAGGGGAGTTTTGGTGGTGGGGGTACTTGCATTGTCTCTGTCATCACATTCCCTGTTATACCCTGTTAAAACCCACTGCGGAGCGTGCCTTGCTACCTGACAAAGGTACCAGATGATGGGTTATGGTGATTGAGATGCATGTGGAGAACTCCACACTGTGAGATGTGCTGATTGCCAATCAATGGTCCCTGATTGTGATGGCATGAATAAAAGAAGGATCCTTATCGTTGCATTGTGTGAGCTGCCCTGCTCCAGTCCATTTGAGCAGAGCCTGGAGCAGCTGAGGAATATTCTGGAAGCCGAATGCCAAAAAGAAACCCTAACTTGTAGGTATAGATTTATACTAATGAGAGCAAACACCACGAGGGAGACAACCGTGGTTTCTTTGATAGAGTTTAATGACTTCATTAGAGTCTTATCTTTGCTTTTCTTTTCCTATCAAGGAACATTTTACATCAAGACCTTCATTTTCTACTTGACTTTCATCAGAAAAACACAGGTGTTAATGTGATAAAGATTAAGTAGGAAATTCAAATGACCTTTAAAACCAGTTATCCCATCTACAAAACACCGTTTTTGTTCATTGGCTAATTGATGGAATTAATAACTCTTTTACTAAGAAATCCATTCTTTGACTTTAATGGTTTTAAAACACAAAGCACAGCAATAATAAAATATATACAATTCCCATTATATAATATACATTCTTTACATATGCTTCAGGTGACAATACAGTAGAGCCAGTAGAGTGTACACCCCCTGTTTATACACCACGTACATTCATCAGATAAATACGAACTGTACACACGTATACATTTTATTTATGTATGTACAACATGTACTGTAAATATATTTGTATTTACTACCTAAAGCCCTCCTATCAGCTTTATCTACCATCTACTGTATATTCACTATGTATTCACCAACTAAACTGTGAATATGCCTTTTATGCCAATAATAATTTAATATGCCAATGCCAATTATATATTGTGTGTGTGTGTGTATATATATATATATATATTATATATATATGTATATATGTATATATAAAGTAAAGGATTTAAACAACTATTTTTTCTAATTTAGTGAGACACAGATATCTTGAAGTTGCTCTAACCTCCTGCCCTGGTAGGTTTTGTTTTCCCGTTCGGTGAGACATGTCTCTCTTGGATTATATTGAATTTGCTAAAATTATTTGTACTTCTTCTCTAATGCAGCACTTTCAGTCGTCCTCTGTACTGAGCCCTTTCTGAAAACACTCTTTTCCACTGAAGGTTTTCTCCAGGGACACTTAGATTTACTGTCGGTGTGCCTTTGCTTTTTATTGAAAAAATCTCTATGCATCAGGTTACGTCTCTGCGCTCTCAAAGGAAAGTCTTTATGTATCAGTGTATAACTAATCTAAGTTCTGTGATTTTTATTCAGCGTGAACAGCGGGGGAATTTGCACTTTGTCTTTTGTTTTAGTCACAGTTAAAATGGTGATAAATGGAAGCTGGTGATGAATGTTTTTCAGCAGTGACCTCCAGACATTTCTTTCTGGTGACCTGTGCTCTATGGAGAGTGGTCCACAAGCACACACCACCAGGACACATTACACGGCTAATAACAGCCTGATGATGAGGGATCACTGCAGGCTACATAGGGCAGGGGGTGCCCTCGTGTTTGTGATCTTGTCCCAGATCCAGCTCTTCTGGGAGGGCAGCAGGTGAAGCAATAAGGGTGCCGCAGCAACCAGCTGCAAGCCTGTTGTTTTTTGATTAAAAAAACACTCACAGTTACCATTCTGTTTTCTGTGGCTTGTCGTGTCCATGGGGAGCGCTCACGTACAGGCAGCGACTCATGCTCAAAGACAGTGTTGCAGGTGGAGCGGTTAGCCCGCAGCCTATGTTAGAACTGAATTGTCATTGTGTATAATGTCACATTAAAAGTGTCAGTCAGTATTTGAATAGTAACAGCTGACATCCCCTCATGGCCAACGCGTGACCTTGA